CACTGACTCCAACTAGCCAGCAATTACTCCAGCTAGCCATCACTGACTCCAACTAGCCAACACTGATTCCAACTAGCCATCACTGACTCCAACTAGCCATCACTGACTCCAACTAGCCATCACTAACTCCAACTAGCCATCACTGACTCCAACTAGCCATCACTGACTCCAACTAGCCATCACTGACTCCAACTAGCCAGCAATTGCTCCACCAGCTAGCCATCACTGACTCCAACTAGCCATCACTGACTCCAACTAGCCAACACTGACTCCAATTAGCCAGCAATTGCTCCACCAGCTAGCCATCACTGACTCCAACTAGCCATCACTGACTCCAACTAGCCAACACTGACTCCAACTAGCCATCACTGACTCCAACTAGCCATCACTGACTCCAACTAGCCAGCAATTGCTCCAGCTAGCCATCACTGACTCCAACTAGCCATCACTGACTCCAACTAGCCAACACTGACTCCAACTAGCCAACACTGACTCCAACTAGCCAACACTGACTCCAACTAGCCATCACTGACTCCAACTAGCCATCACTGACTCCAACTAGCCAGCAATTGCTCCAGCTAGCCATCACTGACTCCAACTAGCCAACACTGACTCCAACTAGCCAGCAATGGCTCCGGCTAGCCATCACTGACTCCAACTAGCCATCACTGACTCCAACTAGCCAACACTGACTCCGGCTAGCTATGACAATTATCTGCGCCACCGTCTAGTTAAGAATGAGACTTGTTAAAATGTGTCTGTCTCTTTACCACGAACCTCCGTCAGTGGTAGGTACCAACACCTGTCATGGCATGATACCTCCCCACCCTCCCCCTCCCTGTCCCCTCCCTGTCCCCTCCCTGTCCCCACATCACCCTCCCCACTTGCCCACCCACTGAGACTATATTGTGTTCAACTTTGCAGAAAATTTGACCAGAAAATAGTTTACAAAAATTGCCCATATATCTGACCATCTCTGTGGAGCAAGTTGAAAAGTTGCCCATGTATCTGACCATCTGTGGGCAGCAAAAAGTTGCCCATGTATCTGACCATCTCTGTGGAGCAAGTTAAAAAGTTGCCCATATATCTGACCATCTCTGGGCAACAAGTTGAAAAGTTGCCCATGTATCTGACCATCTCTGTGGAGCAAGTTGAAAAGTTGCCCATGTATCTGACCATCTCTGTGGAGCAAGTTGAAAAGTTGCCCATGTATCTGACCATCTGTGGGCAGCAAAAAGTTGCCCATGTATCTGACCATCTCTGTGGAGCAAGTTAAAAAGTTGCCCATGTATCTGACCATCTCTGTGGAGCAAGTTAAAAAGTTGCCCATGTATCTGACCATCTCTGTGGAGCAAGTTGAAAAGTTGCCCATGTATCTGACCATCTCTGTGGAGCAAGTTGAAAAGTTGCCCATGTATCTGACCATCTCTGTGGAGCAAGTTGAAAAGTTGCCCATGTATCTGACCATCTCTGTGGAGCAAGTTGAAAAGTTGCCCATGTATCTGACCATCTCTGGGCAGCAAGAAGTTGCCCATGTATCTGACCATCTCTGGGCAGCAAGAAGTTGCCCATGTATCTGACCATCTCTGGGCAGCAGAGACGCACCCACCCCTCCCCTGCCCGACCAAGCTGCTGTGGTCAAGTTGACGTCACCTTGCCGGCCGTATCACGTGATGTATGAGCAGTGTCACGTGATCATCAGATCGCGTGCTGCCCTAGTGGCCCGTCTGATTAGATTTGAACAAAACGGAATTTCAAATGGCCAGAACTGTTTGATAGTATCTGCTTCACGCCGACTTCTCGGGGCAAGGCATCTAATGTGTGGTCTAGCTTCATGCCGACTTCTCGGGGCAAGGCATCTAACGTGTGGTTGGGGCAAGGCATCTAACGTGTGGTCTATGCTGGAAGGTTCCAGAACCTCTGACGTCAGGGCTGTGTCCACTAGCAGCAAGTGACAAACTGTCACGGACATCTGTCATGACATGTGTGACACCAGAGACTAACAGTTGAGACAACAGAACACGACAAACGGGACAACGACATACGGGACAACAGAACACGACAAACAGAACACGACAAACAGAACACGACAAACAGAACACGACAAACAGAACACGACAAACAGAGCACGACAAACAGAACACGACAAACAGAACACGACAAACAGAACACGGCAAACAGAGCACGACAAACAGAACACGACAAACGGAACACGACAAACAGAACACGACAAACAGAGCACGACAAACAGAACACGACAAACAGAAAACACGACAAACAGAACACGACAAACAGAACACGACAAACAGCACGACAAACAGAACACGACAAACGGAACAAGAGACCGAATTAACAGAGAAAACAGTGTGGACTTTGCCGAATTAGTTGCCAAATGTGGGACAGTTTTATTTTTAGAATTGAATTGTTCGCTGATGATAGTGTGTGGGTTTGTGTGTGTGTGTGTGTGTGTGTGTGTGTGTGGGTTTGTGTGTGTGTGAGTGTGTGTGTGGAAATAGGTTTATAGGGGGGGGGTGGACTGAAAGTTAATAGAGTTTCCTCAAGAAATCTAAGACAGACATTGATTACTGTAGAGTCAATTTTACTGATGACCCGGGGGTATGGTGGCGTGTGGGGTGGGGTGGGGTGGGCGGTCAGGTAGTTGTGTGTTCGTGAGGGTATATAGAGGGTGTATGTGTGTGTGGTGGGGGCGCGTGTGGTTTAATTTGTTGAGTGAGTGTGTGTGCATGAGAGGTATGGTCATGTGGGACCAGGGGTCATGTGGGACTAGGGGTCAACAGGTGTCCCATTTGGTGTAAGACCAGGGGTCATGTGGGACCAGGGGTCATGTGGGACCAGGGGTCATGTGGGACCAGGGGTCATGTGGGACCAGGGGTCATGTGGGACCAGGGGTCATGTGGGACCAGGGGTCATGTGGGACCAGGGGTCATGTGGGACCAGGGGTCAACAGGTGTCCCATTTGGTGTAAGACCAGGGGTCATGTGGGACCAGGGGTCATGTGGGACCAGGGGTCAACAGGTGTCCCATTTGGTGTAAGACCAGGGGTCATGTGGGACCAGGGGTCATGTGGAGCCAGGGGTCATGTGGGACCAGTCATGTGGGACAAGGGGTAATGTGGGATCAGGGGTCATGTGGGACCAGGAGTCATGTGGGACCAGGGGTAATGTGGGACCAGGGGTCGTATGGGACCAGGGTTCAACCGGTGTCCCACTTGATGTGAGACCACGGGTCACGTGATATTTGCCAGACGGTACCCGAGTTTGTTGACCTGGCACGGTATAAACAGCTGGCATCAAGTCATGACACAAGTCTCCCCATTCCCACCCCACCCCCAACCCCCCCCGGCATCAAGTCACGACACAACAGATCCCTCCCCCACCCCCCAGCATCATGACACAAGTCTCCCTATTCCCCCCCCCCCCCCCCCCCCAGACGGGCGGTGTTAAAACCTAGGCTATCCATTTACCTCCAGTCTCATCGGAAATTGTCAAAAATATTTTTAATGAGATGTAAACGTCAGGTCTTTGTCAAGTTAACACCGTCATGACGTCCTTGTTAGATTAACACTTTCGTGACGTCAGGACGTTGTTCGATTCACACCGTCATGACGTTAGAACAGGACGGGATAACAACCCCTGTGTATTTACACACCTCCCTGCCAACAGAGCACCCTGTTAACACACCAACCCCTGTATATCAACACACCACCCTGTCGTCACTCTACTCTGTCAACACACCACCCTACCAACACACCACCCTACCAACACACCACCCTACCAACACACACCACCCTGCCAACACACCACCCTACCAACACACCACCCTACCAACACACACCACCCTACCAACACACCACCCTACCAACACACCACCCTACCAACACACCACCCTACCAACACACACCACCCTGTCAACACACCACCCTACCAACACACCACCCTACCAACACACCACCCTACCAACACACCACCCTGCCAACACACCACCCTGTCAACACACCACCCTGTCAACACACCACCCTGTCAACACACCACCCTGTCAACACACCACCCTGCCAACACACCACCCTGTCAACACACCACCCTACCAACACACACCACCCTACCAACACACCACCCTACCAACACACCACCCTACCAACACACACCACCCTGCCAACACACCACCCTGTCAACACACTACCCTGTCAACACACTACTCTGTCAACACACTACCCTGTCAACACACTACCCTGCCAACACACCACCCTGTCAACACACCAGCCTGTCAACACACCAGCCTGTCAACACACTACCCTGTCAACACACTACTCTGTCAACACACTACCCTGTCAACACACCACCCTGTCAACACACCACCCTGCCAACACACCACCCTGTCAACACACTACTCTGTCAACACACCAACCCCTGTGTACCAACACACCACCACTCTGTTTGTCAACACTCGATGTTTCCTTGCCCTGGAGTTATTGATTGGTTTTGTCTATTCACTTTTAAATTACAGCAAAAAAAATATTTCAATTCCGACTTGAAATTTTTTACTTGTGGCATATGCTGTATGGAAGCTGATCTATGTGCGGGCAGTTTTTGTCCAGCTAGCTTTGTGTGTGTGTGTGTGTGTGTGTGTGTAATGGGTGTGTGTGTGTGTGTAATGGGTGTGTGTGTGTAATGGGTGTGTGTGTGCAATGGGTGTGTGTGTGTAATGGGTGTGTGTGTGCAATGGGTGTGTGTGTGCAATGGGTGTGTGTGTGCAATGGGTGTGTGTGTGCAATGGGTGTGTGTGTGCAATGGGTGTGTGTGTAATGGGTGTGTGTGGTTACCAGGTTTTTCCCTTACATGCCGTACATACAAATCTCGCCCCGCCCACCCCAAACAACACCAATATAAGGACATTTTAACCTAGAAAAAACCTACAGATGGGATGTTAGCCGGTTGATCGGTGTTAGGTTTGTGGCTTGGTACACCAGGCAAGCTAGAGAAATGACCAAATACACCAGACAAGCTAGAGAAATGACCAAATACACCAGACAAGCTAGAGAAATGACCAAATACACCAGACAAGCTAGAGAAATGACCAAATACACCAGGCAAGCTAGAGAAATGACCAAATACACCAGACAAGCTAGAGAAATGACCAAATACACCAGGCAAGCTAGAGAAATGACCAAATACACCAGGCAAGCTAGAGAAATGACCAAATACACCAGACAAGCTAGAGAAATGACCAAATACACCAGACAAGCTAGAGAAATGACCAAATACACCCGACAAGCTAGAGAAATGACCAAATACACCAGGCAAGCTAGAGAAATGACCAAATACACCAGGCAAGCTAGAGAAATGACCAAATACACCCGACAAGCTAGAGAAATGACCAAATACACCAGACAAGCTAGAGAAATGACCAAATACAACAGGCAAGCTAGAGAAATGACCAAATACACCAGACAAGCTAGAGAAATGACCAAATACACCAGACAAGCTAGAGAAATGACCAAATACACCCGACAAGCTAGAGAAATGACCAAATACACCAGGCAAGCTAGAGAAATGACCAAATACACCAGGCAAGCTAGAGAAATGACCAAATACACCCGACAAGCTAGAGAAATGACCAAATACACCAGACAAGCTAGAGAAATGACCAAATACAACAGGCAAGCTAGAGAAATGACCAAATACACCAGACAAGCTAGAGAAATGACCAAATACACCAGACAAGCTAGAGAAATGACCAAATACACCAGGCAAGCTAGAGAAATGACCAAATACACCAGACAAGCTAGAGAAATGACCAAATACACCAGACAAGCTAGAGAAATGACCAAATACACCAGACAAGCTAGAGAAATGACCAAATACACCAGGCAAGCTAGAGAAATGACCAAATACACCAGACAAGCTAGAGAAATGACCAAATACACCAGACAAGCTAGAGAAATGACCAAATACAACAGGCAAGCTAGAGAAATGACCAAATACACCAGACAAGCTAGAGAAATGACCAAATACACCAGGCAAGCTAGAGAAATGACCAAATAACCCAGGCAAGCTAGAGAAATGACCAAATACACCAGACAAGCTAGAGAAATGACCAAATACATCAGGCAAGCTAGAGAAATGACCAAATACACCAGACAAGCTAGAGAAATGACCAAATACACCAGGCAAGCTAGAGAAATGACCAAATACACCAGACAAGCTAGAGAAATGACCAAATACACCAGGCAAGCTAGAGAAATGACCAAATACACCAGGCAAGCTAGAGAAATGACCAAATACACCAGGCAAGCTAGAGAAATGACCAAATACACCCGACAAGCTAGAGAAATGACCAAATACACCAGACAAGCTAGAGAAATGACCAAATACACCAGGCAAGCTAGAGAAATGACCAAATACACCCGACAAGCTAGAGAAATGACCAAATACACCAGGCAAGCTAGAGAAATGACCAAAATAACTCCAACATTAATTTTATAATTCCTGTGGACACCTTGTATAGCAAGGGACGCAGGTAAACATTTCCATCGAACTCGGTTTTGGGCGATTTCTCCTATTTGGGTCCAAGACATTTCGGCTGTTTGTTATACATTGATAACTTTTTAATCACCCCCAACAAATTGGACAAATGGCTGACCCCAACAAATTGGACAAATGACTGACCCCAACAAATTGGACAAATGACTGACCCCAACAAGTTGGACAAATGGCTAACTGACCCCAACAAATTGGACAAATGACTGACCCCAACAAGTTGGACAAATGACTGAGCCCAACAAGTTGGACAAATGACTGAGCCCAACAAGTTGGACAAATGACTGAGCCCAACAAGTTGGACAAATGACTGAGCCCAACAAGTTGGACAAATGACTGAGCCCAACAAGTTGGACAAATGACTGAGCCCAACAAGTTGGAGAAATGTCTGATGAAGATGAGGACATTCAGCTGAAGTGATGATTGAAATATTTCCGCCTTCTTGAAAATATTTTCCTTGGGGACATTTTTTTTCAATTAAAAAAAAAGTCGAATTTTTCAAATGGAGGTCATCGTTTTCTTAAAGTAATTTTTTCATTATCTCATTAAAAAAGGTTGAAACAATATTGATTAAATCGTGGATGCCCTCCCTTTGAAGTTGTATTATTTTAGAAGACAGTGGAAACTTGATCGCACTTCAATTCATGAATGTCTTTAAATCAGGGGAATGTTGACTGAACCTTTATATCAGGGAAATGTTGACTGTCCCTTTATATCAGGGGAATGTTGACTGTCCCTTTATATCAGGGGAATGTTGACTGTCCCTTTATATCAGGGGAATGTTGACTGTCCCTTTATATCAGGGGAATGTTGACTGTCCCTTTATATCAGGGGAATGTTGACTGTCCCTTTATATCAGGGGAATGTTGACTGTCCCTTTATATCAGGGGAATGTTGACTGTCCCTTTATATCAGGGGAATGTTGACTGTCCCTTTATATCAGGGGAATGTTGACTGTCCCTTTATATCAGGGGAATGTTGACTGTCCCTTTATATCAGGGGAATGTTGACTGTCCCTTTATATCAGGGGAATGTTGACTGTCCCTTTATATCAGGGGAATGTTGACTGTCCCTTTATATCAGGGGAATGTTGACTGTCCCTTTATATCAGGGGAATGTTGACTGTCCCTTTATATCAGGGGAATGTTGACTGTCCCTTTATATCAGGGGAATGTTGACTGTCCCTTTATATCAGGGGAATGTTGACTGTCCCTTTATATCAGGGGAATGTTGACTGTCCCTTTATATCAGGGGAATGTTGACTGTCCCTTTATATCAGGGGAATGTTGACTGTCCCTTTATATCAGGGGAATGTCGTCTCTGTAGCATGACATTTGTGCTCTATCTTTAGACGCTCAAAACACTCACATTTCTCATGTAACACAAACATATTTACATACATACATACACATACAAACATTCATATACAGAAAACATACATAAACCTTACACACACCAACACAGCCCCATGTGCACACACGCATACATTTCCAAACATTCAGGCACTTACACGCTAACAGACAGACACACAAACCCACAGATTCGTTAAGATAACTACGCCGCTCTCCTGTAATGATTGGATTCAGCAATTAAAATCCACAATTTATTTTTCAACGTCTGGCCGTTCCTTCTATATGAGCAGCCGGTGGCAATGTTTAAAACAGTCACGTGACCCAAACAACCACGTGACAGATACGTTCTTGTTTAGTGATTGGGTTTTGTTGACGTCATACTAAGGTAGTCACGTGGGCTAAGATGGCCGATGTCCGGACAGTTTCTTTAGCTTCGTGAAATGAGCTGCTTACCTTAATTCGTCTCTTTGCTAGCCTCATTCCAGCTGCACCCATAATACCTCCCTCACAGACCTACCCATACCTCCCTCACAGACCTCCTACCCATACCTCCCTCACAGACCTCCTACCCATAATACCTCCCTCACAGACCTCCTACCCATAATACCTCCCTCACAGACCTCCTACCCATAATACCTCCCTCACAGACCTCCTACCCATAATACCTCCCTCTCTGGTCTCCTCTCCTTAATACCCCAGTTTACCCCACCACCCCCCTCCCAGTTCACCCCACCACACCACCCCCCTCCCAGTTCACCCCATCACACACCCCCTCCCAGTTCACCCCACACTGCCCCCCTCCCAGTTCACCCCACACTTCCCCCCTCCCAGTTCACCCCACACTGCCCCCCTCCCAGTTCACCCCACACTCCCCCCTCCCAGTTCACACCACGCTGCCCCCCTCCCAGTTCACCCCACCACCCCCCCCCTTCTCCCAGTTCACCCCACCACCCCCCCCCCCCTTCTCCCAGTTCACCACTCCACCCCCCCCCCCCAGGGCCTGACCAAATACCTGGTGTATTCTTCCAATTTGTCTCTCGACTCATCATCTGACTCCGTCATTACGAGCCATTGTTAGACGCGGCGTCAGGGGGACGACAGCCAACCCACCATTCCGCCTCTAGATATTAATTAAGAAAAACAATTTAATTTAATTAACGTCAAGGCATTTAATGTCCATAAATTTGTCATGTTTGTCAAAAAAAAAAGTTGAAATTAACAACCAGCCGCTAGATGGGGCAGGTGGAAAAAAATAAAATTTTAAATTAATTTTTTCCCACATTCGCGACGATTAATAAGCGAACACCCTATAGTTGGAGGGGGTGGGGAGGGGAATGCCCATAATTAATTACCAGACCAAAAAACGATGTTATTACAGTTGGGCTAGGTATTTCGGACCGAGTACTCACCTTGGTCAATTCTTACCCTGGTCAATTCTTACCTTGGTCTATTCCTAGGTGGGTTGATTCTTATAAGGGTATTGGGTCTTCTCTTACCTGTAACTATTTGATTAGGGTCAATTTTTACTTGCCTATTTGACCTGGGTGATCTTTTACCTGAGTGATCTTTTACCTGGGTGATCTATACCTGGGTGACGTATTGTCTGTGTATTTTGTTCTATGTTTATTGTCTGTTTAGTTGATCCATATGATGTCTCAAAACTATACATCAATTCAATACCTTTTTTTCTGCAGAGTCGCGACCCTGGGGAAGACGTCACAACCCTGGGGAAGACAAGGCCCGACCCTGGGGAAGACAAGGCCCGACCCAGGGATAGACAAGGCCCGACCCAGGGGCAGACAAGTCACCCACCTCACCCACGCCCCAGTATCAGGCTCTAAACGTGGTAAGTTATGTTGGGATGATAGGGATTTGATCCCGTGAACTTTGACCTCAGTATTCGCTTTAATTACAAGCTGAGTCTTTTAAAGACGTCCAATGTAGTCACGTGACTTGTGAGTTGGAGTTCCCGGCTTCCCAGTTCTAGAGATCTTTGAACAATTTCCTGCCTAACGCTGTTCACGTCTGTTTGTGATGCTAATATAGACCTTCTGTTTCTTATCGTCGTCATTCCTGTGGGACCTTGTGGCACCTTGTGGGGCCTTATGGGACCTTGTGGGACCTTGTGGGACCTTATGGGACCTTGTGGGACCTTATGGGACCTTATGGGACACAGGGACACAACCCCACCATCGTATTCGGTTCTGGGCCCAAGTTGGACCCACGACTTTTGACACATGACCTTGTCCTTGTCTGTTTTGGCCGACCTGCTTTCCTCTTTCCTTGGAGATTCCAGTCTAGTGCCGTCTGCTGATGTTGATAGGTGGTCTACGTAAGGTGTGTCCAACACATCCATATTTGCTCTTCTTTATTTCTTTAACAAACTTATCACACCCGACAACCTCAACACACCCGACAACCTGAACACAATCTGAACACACCCGACAACCTGAACACCCGACAACCTGAACACACCCGACAACATGAACACCCGACAACCTGATCACAACCTAAACACACCCGACAACCTAAACACATCCGACAACCTGAACACAAACTGAATACATCCGACAAACTGAACACACCCGACAACCTGAACACACCCGACAACCTGAACACACCTGACAACCTGAACACACCTGACAAACTGAACACACCTGACAAACTGAACACACCCGAAAACCTCAACACAACCGCAACACAACCGACAACCTAAACACAACCTCAACACACCCGACAACCTCAACACACCCGACAACCTGAACACACCCGACAACCTCAACACACCCGACAACCTGAACACACCCGACAACCTGAACACAACCTGAACACACCCGCCAACGTAAACACACCCGCCAACCTGAACACAACTTAAACACACCCGACAACCTGAACACACCTGAACACAACCGACAACCCATGACAAGCCAACTGTGTTACCGGTACTGTCCCAGAACGGAGCACGTGATTACTTCTGTGGAAGACTTCGCCCGAGGCTTGGCGGCCATGTTGATGACGTCACAAACTAGAACCATGCAGGACCAACGTACGCTAGCACTACCACATTGGTTCAGTTTAACTCGAGCTATTAACCCGAGCTTAATTTCAGCTCTCGACAGAGTTTCCATGCTGTTTCACAAACCCATGTGTCAT